ATATACGAAGTCCTTACTATAACACTAATTTTTATTTTTAATAATTAGAAATTTGAAACAATACAACGTACATTACTTTCTAGTTATTTCAAGCAACAATCCTTTGGTGTAAATATCACGCTGTATGTATAGAAGCCAATTAAAACCAGCAATAATTTGACGCATTCTAAATAAAATATCATTAATATTAATTTTCGATACGGAGCGACTTATCAGTGAACTTTTAATTATTATAATTATTGCTGACATATCTTGTTACTCATTTCAATCCTATTTTAGCTCCAACATTACGTCACTCACTTCAACTTCAAATAATTACTTGTGATACTCTTAAAATATAAAAAAAATAAAATTCCCAGGAACTTAAAAATATTCTCACGGCTCCTATTGGCCATCGAACGAGGCAAATCCTATTGCTATCCCGCCACGTCTTAGGGTACAATTAGGAGAACAATATAGTTATTAATTACCATACTTAATTTTTTAACACCTGTTGATAATTTAAATAATTTTGTTATGCAAATACGAAATTTATGTCTACCACCTTTCACAAACAACTTTACCAGTTTGTAATAGCATTATTTACAAATTTTTACACACAAATAAATGACATTTACAAGGAATTTGCATTATATCCATTCCGATTCTTATTGACGTACAGGGAGTTTCAAAACTTCGGTACGAAGTGCCAATTATGCACAATTTCGAATTTGACAAAGCCCGACACTGATTTTGAACAAAATGCTCAAATTGTTAGAAAGCTAATCAAGTACCTACAAAAAGTCAGTGGCGTGCATTAAAAAACGTTGCATAGATAACGTTGAGATGATTAGCATGAATTGTTTAGATAACTGATATACATTCAGCAAAAAAATTAAGGTAGAAGAAAAATTTCCGAAATTTTTTAAATTATTTTTGAAAATTTGTAACTTCGTGAGTAATGGTCGTATCGAGAAAAAAAAAACATCTTGAAGCTTGAAGATTCTAGTTTTGAAATCTAGAGATTAAAAATTTTTTGTGCATCATTCTCGGCTCAATCAAAAGAAATAATGCAAGGCAAACATTTTACAATTTTTTTTTCTTACAATTAGAATTGCTCATGGGCTCAGAAATTTTTTTTTAGCTTGCTCAATGCCAGAGACATTTAACCAGATTTCTCAGCTTCAATTTGTTTTTTTTTAATTTTCTGTACGATTATTTCACATTGAGATATGTATGTATACTCTGAAAAAGTGCAAAAGAAATACTTTTTCAGCTGTTTTGGAATATCAACGACTACTTCGCAAATATTGCGAAAAGTACAAATGTTTGTAGGCTTTTTTTTAGCTCAATACAAACCCGTAAGGCCTGTAAATTTTGAAATCAATCGGCGAAACCGTTTTCCTTTCCTGAATCGTCAGTTTTACAAAAAATTGAAGGAGTAGGTCTACTGCTCCCTAAACATCAATTAATCATGATCAAGATGAAAACAATTTTTTGCGTTATTTGTCTCATAATTTCGCGTTAAATACTCAACAAATATCGAAAAAAAATCAAAGAAAATCAAATTGCATAGATGAAATCATATGCGAAGACGGTACGCGTTTTTTCCTTATCGTATTGTTTCAACAAAATTAAAAAAAGTCTATGTGGGCCTTGCTAGAGGCTGTTGGCCCCGTCGATAACCCAATTTATTTTTGTTAATTTTTTATATCTTTGATAAAAGTCTGTCCACTGACTGTCAGTTGCGGAGAATACATCCGAAAAGCATCCATTTTGGTTCATAAAAATAAAAAATTATGTGGTAAGATACACTGTATATCAATTCGAGCTTAAATTTTCCAAATCCTTCGTCAACAGACTGCTATAAATTCACTGAAATTTACGCATAAAAACGCTCTCCTTAACAAACTTTTCTGAGGTTATAAATTTCTTGCATATCTAGATTTTTGGTATTCACTGTCGCTTCAAAATGCATTTTTTTTTTCTAAAAGTTTAACGATTATATAATTATGTTATAACATTTATTAAAAAATACCAAGACCAATAATTAAAAAAGGAAACTGCAGTACCACAGTAGCTGATGTTACCTTACAAAACAAGCAAATACCGAAATTAACATTTTTTTTTTATACAGGGTGTAAGAAGTTTGACTGCCATTACTTCAACATGAGATAGAGTAATCATGAATGAACAAAAAAGTTGTATATTACAGGGGGAGTAAGATTAACAGTTTTCAAAATCAGCGAGTATTAATATTGGGGAGTTTCATCACAACGTGACAACAGCGCTTTACCTGCTGATGCACACCACGTGTGCACGCGGCAGACTTGTCCTACGGAAAAAATGTAAACAGCTATTATTGTGAAACATTAGTAAATTTGAAGACAATCGTTCTCCAGTTTTTAAATAAATAAAATAAAATGTATCGATTTTGTAGTACGAAGATAGTGTTGTGTTTAAATTTTAGCTCGAATATTAGTAATTATGAATCTTCAAAGATTCACGTCGTCCAAATAATAATACGTATTAAAAATAATTTAGGTAGGTACTTACCAAAATGCAAAATTCAGTAATTTTTAAACGCACAAGTACAAAACAGACTACAACATATGCTCAACATGTCCACCACCATTTTCGATGGAAAAGGAAATAGTGGTACGCAAAAAACACTCAGACACGGTCCAATTCCAGATACCAACTGAATTGCGTAGTGCTGGACAGATTACTACCTCGTGTTATCCGCCGCGCCGTTGTCACATTGCTCGATATGAATATTATCGAATTTTAAATTTATTACAACGCTAATTATTTTTTAGAATTAAGTATAAAGTTCAAAAAAGTGATACACATTGTATTTTAGGGTATTCTATGCACGCAGTTGTCAATATTCCTTAATTAATCAAACTTGGAGATTTTGGTAATTTTTCTCACAGAAATGGTTGAGTTTAGGACCTATATCATATAAGGTTTATTCTTTATTTTAGTGTATTCTATCGTCTGTTAAAATTAAGGCAGTCAAACCTCTAACACCCTGTATTTATGTAGTGTGCCGGTACAACTTTTATAAATAGCTATTTTTATGCACGTGCGTGTAATTTTAGAGGAATTTTTTCGCTGCATATTAATATCAACAAAGCGCCATACGATGGCGCCAATTTATTTTTGACACTGTTTACTACGGCAACATATAATTTCTATATAAAGTCGGTAATGCACTGGCCATTAAAAAATATATTACGACAATTTTATACAAGAGAATTTTCTCTTATCTTGCGCATTTCGCTGTAAATTTTCCTTGATTTAAAGACTGAACAAATCCTCCCTTTCACCAACAGAATTATATTGCTGCCACCTGACAGTCCTGATCTTAAACTCATTGCCCATTTTCAGAGTAAACAGCCCCATGTAATTATTTAGATAGTACCGAAGGATATGATCAAGAATCTTTAATATTCAGGTAATTTAGAACTAAATTACTTTATCGTTCACAATGATTTTGCCATATAAGAACAGAAATATTAAATGTCAATAACCAATGTTAACCAATTTTTGCCAGAAAAGTGTCTTATTTTAGTCTCATCCATTTGCGTAAAGGGGAAAATTTATTAGATTGTTTTATGGTTTTCTTGATAAAATAACTAGTGATCCAATTGCTAAACCACCAACCGGCTACAACACAGTCATTCTCACAATAGAAGTAAAAAAATATTTGCTTTTCGTGTTGCAATAAAGGAGAGAACGTTTTCAAGTGCATGCGGTTTTATTTTTAAGTGAAACAACAACCTATGCAATTTTATATCGCAACTCTGTTAATTATAGAAATCAACCGGATCACTGTAAATATCTAATTTTCTTGGCGATAAAGACTGACGCGACTTTGGAGAATCAACCCGATACGTAAGTAATGGCAGCATAACGGTAAACGCGAACGCATTTTAATGAAAAAATCGATATTAACGCGATTAATATGACGTTAAAGTTAATCGTACAAGAAAATTGCAATCAGAGAAAATTTCATTGAGCTCAAAGAACAAGGTTCTTTAGAACGGCCTGCATGTAATCAGTGGAGCGTTTTTGGGCACTTATTTATATGAACTTTTCTCCTTGGAAGTGGTTAAAAATTAGCACCCCCTAGTGTTTGAACTTGAATGAGTGTATATGTGTATTTAAAGAACCAATTTCTATAAAAATCATTTTTGAAAAGAAATTTACTATACTTTTGGATTAGTCGTTTATTATACAAAACGGGGAAAACACTGCGCAAAAATTTTCATTTCACTTTCGAATTTAATTCTTAATTTTATAGGATCCAAAAAAAACGTAGCGCAAAATTTAGAAAAAATGCAGACCAGTTTTCAATTGTACAGTTTTTCCATTCTGGATCTAAAACATGTTTGATAATAAATGTTTTGTTTCTAATTTTACGTATTAAAAAATGTTACCCCACTTTTGAATTTAAGATTTGATTTTAAGAGCATCCAATGAAAACCTTTTTGCAATGGGGGTGGTTCGGGGTGGTACAAATTTAGAAAAAAAAGCATTTAGTGAAATGATCCTTTTCGAAACACAGTTCTGGCTTAAAAAATTATAAAAATAAATTTGCTGCAGTTTTGAATTTACAGACGCAAAAATTTTTTGCCTCACTTTTAAATTTAATTTTTTTAATAATAAGTATCTAGTGAAAGGCATACTGTAAGGGGCGAAACAACTCTCGATCTAAAACGTTTTTGAAAATAACTTTCTTCACTTTCAAATTTAACGTCTCGAAAATTTTACTCAAGTTTCGAATTTAAATTTTGATATTTAAAGGATACAATAAAAATTCTCTTGCAAGCGCAAAATTTAGAAAAATGCACTTATTTTAGAAAATACTTTTCAAAACACGGTTGTACAATTCTCTACTCTCGATTTAAAACATTTTCAAAATAAAATGTAACCTCACTTTCGAACCTAAGTTTTGATTTTAAAAGGGCCCAGCGGGAACCAAGGGGTGGCTCGAATTAAAAAAAAATACTCACATGGTTGTGCGAAGGTGATGACCTTCTGCGTCTTGACGTGGAACTCATCCTCTTCCTCGGTAACGGAGAATCCAGTCTTGAACTGATGGGGTTCGTCGCTCTGCATGCCGTACTCGGGATCCACCATCGCCAGATACCTGGAGGGGATCTGGGGCAGTTCTTTCCCCGTAATATTAGGGGCTTGCTGGAACCCCATCCGCCTTAAGATCTCACCCTTGATCATCTCCAGGTTCCTGATCTTGATCTCCTCCCGCATCTTGCAGCTGCTGCAGCCCGACTGCTGCGTGGGCTGAGGGAACTCCTCCGACTGGTCCAGGTTATCCTGGAAGTGCCTCTTCTGTATACTGTTCGGTAGCTGCTTATCACTAACGGTGTGCGGTACGAGGAGGACGAAGACGAGGAGATAACTCAGAAAAGTTCTCGCCACTTCCGGCATATCTACCAGGTTCAGTAACATCTTTTTTTTTTAGTAGCTAAGTCAGTCGAGGGGTATCACAAGTATCTTCAGTTCTATCACAAGGTCCGAGAGCTCGAATCACAAGGGTAGGATTTTCATATCACATTTTTTAATTTCACTTTTGTATCACTCATTTTTTCCCCCCCGCGGAAGGAATACTTTCGGGGTAAGAGATGCCTGTAGATCACAAATTCGGGTGTCGGTTTAAATAAATCACAAGATCATCACAATTGGTTCAGCGTGCACGCGTCGGAGTCGTTGGATTGGCGCGGGCTCTAGAATAAGATGTGTGTTATACCATGCACTGAGGTATTAACTATAAGACGGCCCTATATATGTGTGTGTGCCTCCTGCGTGTGGATACATTTATTAAACGCTTACCAGGTCGATAAAGAAGTGGCGGCACGTCGACGGATCAAAAATGATAGCGCGTTTCGAGTGCCGGGGTCGCTTGTCAACTATCTACGGCCGGCCGGACGGGCTCCCGGATTTAAAAAAAATATATACCCTCTCGTGCTCTTTTTTTTGGATTTTTTTTCAAGAAAATTTTTAATTTAATTCGAAAATATAATACGGTTGAATAAAATAAAACCCAGGATACTATACGAAAATTTCATTCCACATTCGAATTTCAGTTTTGTTTTAAAAGTATCCATTGAAAATTATATTTTAAGAGGCGATACGAATTCGACAAATTTAAAAAATTGTTTTAAATATTTTTTTTAAAGTACAGTTGTCTACTCTCAATTTAAAACTTTGTTCAATTTAAGAAAACAGTAAATTCACTACACTTTCGAATTTTAATCCCAAAAAATTAACTCCACCTTTGAATTTGTTTTCATTTCAAAAGTGTTGACTGAAATCCCTATTTTAAGAGGTGGTATGACTTCTCCAAATTTAAAAAATTCACTTATTTTAAAGTATATTTTTAAAAGCACAATTTACAATTTTTCTACCTTAGCACAAGTCTGTATTCCATTTAATTAAGAAAACATAAATTCACTACAGTTTCGAATTTAACGTCGCCTTTGAATTTTAGTTTTGATTTTAAAAGTGTTCAACGAAAACCAAAGTTCGGAAATTTTGAAAAAGGTACAGGGTGATTCACTATATTTTGACCCCCCCTCCCCCATAGACTTTTTTGTTTTAAGAGTTATAAAAAATGTGAACTACAAAAGTTGCACGATTTTTTTAGAAATTTTCGAAAATTATAGTAGACAAACAAATGAAGTACAAATAAAATGGTCGCGGATGTTAACGTTGTTAATTTAAGTGAAACACCCTGTATATTTTTACATACGTTAAAAAGTTAAAGGTGGGGGGGGTAATATATAGTGAAACACTCTGTACTTATTTTAAAGAATATTTTTCAAGGCGCAATTTTTCAATTTTTCCACTCTCAAACTACTTTATTCCATTTATTTCAGAAAACATTTTTGAAAACTACTGTCATTTTAAATTTAACGCCATAAAAATTTTATTACACCTCTGAATTTAAGTTTTGGCATTAAAAGTGTCATATGAAAACCATAACTTTAAATTTATTAATTTTGCCCACTTGTCAGTCAGTCATGAAACTGGTATTGATTTTATTGAAAATCATATTGGGTGACAGATTTAACACAAAAAAAAAACGTAGCACGAGTACTTTTTCAAATAATGGATCTTTTTTTGACAAAAATTAAAAATTAAATTGAAAAATATTAAATAAAATGTCATTAATTAATAATCAAATTACACAAAGCATTATAAAAGTTATTAAAATAATCTCATATTACTTTAATGTCCCTTGTATCCTTGTATAAATACGACAGACTGCAAACATATAAGAAAATATTTTTGACAATAAATTTACTGCAGCTTCGAATTAAAATTTCGATTTTACGCAAATGTGGAAAACATATTGTACTGTTTAAAAAAAAGCCTCACTCTCGGACTGAAGTTTTAATTATAACGGTGCCTAATGAAAACCACATTGCAAGCAGGGATGATAGATTTATATAAAAAAAATTGCGTCACCTTTTCTTTTGGATTTTGTTTCAAGAAAATATTTAATTTAATTATAGTATATATATAT